AGAGCAGTGGCAACAGCAAGAGCTCAGTGCTCTGGCTCCTCCAGGGAGCTGTGCTGGGGCCTCTGCTTTAACACAGACTGGTGCTGCTTCAGACTCTCTGCTCCTGCACTCTGCCCACCCAGCCTGGAGAGACACCAGTGCTGAGCTTGCAATGAATGCAGCTCTTGATCTTCTCTGAAAGGGTTTCTTCTGGCCTGTGTGTGCTTCCTTACTTCCTCTGTATACCTAGGTATTCTTATTTTGGGGCACAATAAAGTGGAGTGAACCCAAGTGTTTTTAAACAATGAGCCAAATCCCCTGCCCCCTGTATTTAAATTTTGTTTTCAATTTTGAGACATGGTTTTGCTCAGTTGCTTAGTTGCTGTCTGAGTTGCTGAGGCTGGCATTGAACTAGCAATCCTCCTGCCTGAGCCTCCTGAACCTGGGTATTTTTGAAACCTAATTTCCAACAGAAATTCTCCCTCAGCTTTCTTCTCTAGACTTCAGGTGGTGTTTGAGTGGGAAAACAATAATTTGCTACTATTCCTATATGCAGGCTGTGGGTTTAGTTAACACTTTTTAAGGAATTCCACCTACTTTTTCACAGTGATTTCTTTTGACTTAGAACAGTGAGAAGCTTTTTAAAATTTCTTTAAGATGTTAACATTGTTAGTTCTGTGATGAATTTAATAGAAATTAAAGAAACTTGGAAAAGATCTGCTGTGTACAGTGTGTAGCCAGTGACTAGGGTCTCATACTGAGAGGTCACACCCCTGTCTTGCACCAGAGAAGGGCTTTCTGAAGGGTGAGTGAAGGTCACACCCTGCTTGCTGCTCTCCACTGTTCTCCAAGACTGCTTCATGGAGCTGTGGAGAACCTCTTGGGGCTTTCACACATGATGATGTTCTTGTTCTAATGGTTCTGCTTGTGTGTGGAACACTCCCTCTCTCTGGAGTCATCATCACCTTGGATGTAAATGATTTTCCTTCTTACAAGGTCCGTTGACTATATTTGTGGGAGTCTCTTTCTGGGCTCTGTTCTGGTCTGTGTTGTGTAGTACTCTGAGGGTCCCAGACTCTGAGTTGTGTCATGTTGGTGTCTAGTTTGATCTTTTTTCTTTTCTGCTTATCATTTTTAGAAAATTGTTTAGCTTATTTTTCTATAAAAGTAAATTTTTCCTAGACATAGTGGTGAGTGCCTATTATCCTAGCTTCTGGGGAGGCTAGGGCAGGAGGATCGTAAGTTTATAAGCTAGTCTCTGCAACTTAGGAGGCCCTGAGCAACATACAACACCCTGTCTCAAAACATCAAATGTGTCAGGAATGTGACTGTGTGGTTCTGCTCCCCTGGATTTGATCCACACTGTGTTTTTGTTTATTTATTTGTTTTTCAATTTGTCACACATAAGTAAGTAAATAAAAATATATTTCTTTTAAATTTCTGAAATGGGTTTTAGTCTTTCACAGTTAAATGTACAACAAACCGCATTTGTCTGCAGAATAGAGGGAGGAAGTACTTGCCATGTAGATTCTCATTTGCCTGGACCATCATTGTGTTCTGTCCCCAAGACACCTGCTGTCACCCATAATTTTTCCATACCTTGAAGAACAGCCCACTAAAGGCTTTCTCTTGGGCTTCTACTAGCCTCTGTTTATACTGTTCTGCTTCAAATGTCATCATGTGTCTTATGTCCTTGAGCATGGTTCTTTGTGAGTGGCAGGGTCGTGTTCTGGTAGGTGGTCCTTTTGGCTGTTCCACACTGTGCAGAAATCATAGCCAGCTTAGAGACCCACATGGAGTGGCCTGTTTCACAAGCAGTCAGTGTGGGATAGCTCAGGATTCTGGGCTGCAAACCTGCTGCTTTAACACACCCAGGAAGTGCTTGTGCCTGAGGTTTCCTTGCACCAGCTGTGCTACAGGAATGAGGAATCGCTTTCATGACAGACCAACATTGTACATGTGGCCTATCTTGATCAAAGTGTCCTTGATCAGAACGGTGGTGTGTGTCTCACCACATGTATCACACACACATGTGTGTGTACATGATCTGATTGGGACATCTGCTGTTCAGAAGAGTTTGACAATCATTGGACATTCATGGTTGCCACAAGGTTTGGAAAAGGATTTTCTGCTGTCTGTTAAGAAAACTGTTTTTCAGACCTATATCATTTTGTAAGGCTATTGTTTGGATAAGGTGACATCTGGGGGTCATCGAGTTTTTTCTAAGATATATGACATCTTTCCATACACCCCATTCTGCTTTGATATTAACCACTAGAAATTATTATATTATTGTGTTTATTAATCAATGTTCTTGATTACTAATGCGTAAATTTGTTCTGGAGTAAAGCTCCTGCAAACTTCTAGTTGTCCTCAGTGTAATCATTCAAGTTGAGCTCAGTCCCCAGTGAACATATTGTGACGACCTGTGTGGAAGATTGTCTAACTGTTGTCTATGAGGGAAACTTTATAGTGACTCCATACTCAGAGGGTGTGGGTTGGGGCTGATTCTAGGCACTTCTTTAAGGATGGAACAATTGACTTTCAGAAGGAAACAGGAGATCAGTAAATACCATGTTGTCTATATTAACTGTGTAGGCCCAGTGAGCCACTGTGGTTGGCAGGATCTGTCTCAAAGGCTAAGTTTTGTGATTCCAGCAATTTCCTACTCAGTCAGCTTTCTTTTCTAAGGGTAAATAATATGGGGAATGCTAATATTAGCTCTCTACTGCACAGGATGTTGGTAGGATGGTGATAGAGATGCAATCAACAAATAAGTTAAGGGTGACCCGAGAGCCCCTCTTACGTCTCGTGAATTCACCAAAAGTGAGTTCACCAAAGGAAGGGTGTACAACACTCTCTGTTTACCTTGTGTTAGGCCCAATTCTAGTGTTGGAGTGGCTGTGAGGACTTAAGTACACTAAAGATTTCATTCACAAAATTGTGGAAATAATCGGGAGGCCAGGGAATCATGTGAACATCATGCATGTTGAGTATAGATTTCTCACACTGTCAATCTCTCCTGGCCTCCACTACACATTTGTGGGATATTTTAGATCTCAGCGACCTTTGAGGATGTGGCTGTGAACTTCACCCAGGAGGAGTGGGCTTTGCTGGATGCTTCCCAGAAGAACCTTTACAGAGATGTGATGCTGGAAGTCCTCAGAAACCTGGCTTCTATAGGTAATAATGTTGTGTAGTTATTTAATCACATAGAGAAGTCGTGTTTATTTTGGTCATTTATGTAGAACATGAAAAGACAATAAATTATTGTGGCATAAAATGCTCCATAAATTTGGAAACGCCTTTCTATCTCCTAAAAATTTATAATGTTTTGGTTTGGTATTTTAGGAAACAGATGGGATGACAAGAACATTGAAGATCAGATCAATATTTCTGGGAGTAATCTAAGGTAATTGTACTCACAAGAGGAATCCTTGAGGGAATCTGAGAATGTCATATAATTTGCAAGAAATGTGCACAACTTTAAATGTATGTATTCTTACAAGATTTTTTACCAAAAACATATACTTAACTGAGACTTGGGTTATGACTCAGTGGTAGAGAGCTTGACTAGCACACCTGTGGCACTGGGTTCTCTTCTCTGCACCACATTTAAATCAATAAAGTTTATTCACAACTGAAATAAATTTTATATACATGTATATTTAACTGTGAAATATACTCAGTCTTTTCAAAGTACTTGACATGCAAAAGTACTATGAAATTGCATATGTAAATATCACTATTTGGATAATAGTCGTAGGCAAGCTGTTGCAAAGCATTGTTTCCTCTCAGTCTCTTTATTTTCTGGCAATTTGAACAAGTTGGAAAACCTAGTCTTTACCTGATGTTGGTAGTAATGTAAGCCTAGCACCTTTAAATAAATATAAAATCATGAATGAATCAAGCATTAATCATGTGCCGATCATTCTTTAAAGAAATCTTATGGTAAACTTTAAAGGCAAAGAACAGTATGGGGAAATTTTCAATTTGATTCCAGTTCTTAAGTAGACAAAGAAAAATTTTAATACAGTGAATTCATATGATAACATTATGTGTGCAACTGACTACATATGTCCTTCATACCTTCACAGGCACTTCAGATCTCACAGTGGGCATGAACACTGTAAACATGAAGAATGTGAAGAGAAGTCATGTGAATTGAAACAATACAGAAAATCTCTGGTTTCTCTCCAAAGTGTTCACACACAAGTGTTAATACAAACTGGAGATGAACCATATGAAAGTACAATCAGTTGTTCCAGTGACATTCAAAGACATGAAGATTCTCATACTAAGTGCCAACCCTATGAATATCAACAATGTGGTGAAGCCTTTTCTTCTCTCCCAGCTGTTCAAAAACACATGAGAACACACAGTGGAGGTAAACCTTTTCAATGTGATGTATGTGGGAAAGCCTTTCATTCCCCCACTTTATTTAGAAAACATGAAAGAACTCATTCTGGAGAGAAACTCCATAAATGTAAACAAGGTGGTAAAACTTTGGTTTCATTCACAAGTCTTCGATGTCACGTGATCAGGCACACTGGGAAAGCACATTACAAATGTAAGCTATGTGGAAAAGACTTTGCTTATCCCAGTTTACTTAGAATACATCAGAGGACACATACTAGAGAGAAACCGTATGAATGTCAACAATGTGGGAAAGCCTTCAGTACTTCATCTTACCTCCAGATACACGAACAGACTCATACAGGAGAGAAGCCCTATGAGTGTAAGCAGTGTGGGAAAGCCTTCACTCAGTCTGCTCACCTTCACTCTCATGAGCAAACTCATACTGGAGAGAAGCCCTATAAATGTCTACAATGTGGAAAAGCCTACACTACTTCATCTTACCTTCAATTAAATGAACAAATCCATGCTGGAGAGAAGCCCAATGATTGCCAACAATGTGGAAAAGTCTTCACTACTTCTTCTAACCTTCAGAGACATGAACGAACTCATACTAGGGAGAAGCCCTATGAATTTAAGCAGTATAGCAAAGTTTTTACTCAGTCTGCTAACCTTCACTCACTTGAAAACACTCATATGACAGAGAAATCCTATGAATGCCAACAATGTGGAAAAGTCTTCAGTACTTCTTCCTACCTTCAGATACATGAACGGATTCATACTGGAGAGAAGCCTTATGAATGTAAGCAGTGTGGGAAAGCCTTCACTCAGTCCAGTCACCTTTACTCACATGTGAAAACTCATACTGGAGAGAAGCCCTATGTATGTAAACTGTGTGGAAAAGCCTTTGCTCGATCTCCTCAGCTCCACATGCATAAACGAACTCACACTGGAGAGAAGCCCTATGAATGTAAGCAGTGTGGGAAAGCCTTCACTTACTCCTCTAACCATCTCAGACATGAAAGAACACATACTAGAGAGAAACCCTGTGAATGTCAACACTGTGGGAAAGTCTTCACTACTTCAACTTACCTTCAGATTCATGAACAAATCCATTCTGGAGAGAAGCCCAATGAAAGTCAACATTTTGGGAAAACCTTTGATACATTCAGTGAACCTCACATGCACGGAAGAACTCACACAGAAGAGAAGACCAATGAATGCCAACAATGTGGAAAAGTCTTCAGTACTTCTTCTTCCCTTCACAGACATGAAGGGACGCATACTGGAGAGAAGCCCTATCAATGTCAACAATGTGGGAAAGCCTACACTACTTCATCTTACCTTCAGATACATGAACAAATCCATGCTGGAGAGAAGCCCAATGAATG